CTATGGCACATCTTCAAGACTGTATAAGCATCAGGGGAAAAAAAGTAATAATTCAGGGATGTTCACTGGGTTTGCAATTACTTTGCAAAATGTGCGTGCAAACAATTGGAATGGGACCCTCAACGTGATAGCGGTTGGCAAGGTAGGATTACGGTAGATGTGCCGGCTTGGCTGTTTTTTGGGGTTTTTTTGCAGTATGCGGGCCTCTCACTGTTGTGGCCTCTCCCGTTGCAGAGCACAGGCTCCAGATGCGCAGGCTCCGCGGCCATGGCTCACGGGCCCAGCTGCTCCGCGGCATGTGGGATCTTCCCGGACCAGGGCACAAACCCGTGTCCCCTGCATCAGCAGGCGGACTCTCAACCACTGCGCCACCAGGGAAGCCCTTGGCTGTTTTAATTGGGCATCACCACTACCCCCTTCTGAGGTTTTCTCTGCAGCTCACAGGAGAAACTAGAAACTACATTTCCCAAAATTCCCTGTGTGCATAGCTCTCAGTTAGAGAGGGCCAAAGAGAGACACTGAGTATGATGTGGAAATCCAGAGAGGAGGGGCAGGGCAATGCGTGGGTAGTCCTAACCTTTGAAGAACTTCTTGAGAATCACCGCCGCCTTGGTGCTGCAGACCGAGAAAGTCAGGAGGAGATTCCCAAGTATTCCTGAGATGCACAGAATCTTCAGCAGCTCTTGAGAATCACCGGTCACAGAGGTGAGACTCTGGGTGACACCTTCCCTGTCAGTCCTTTCCTGTATGTGTAAGCCTCTCATTCCTTACATTAAAGCCCTTCATAATTTGAATGGTGTGCATTCAATTTTCCCTGTCTGAATTCAGGTTGATACCATAGCATTTTTCCCTTTGGTTTTTCAAACTATCTCTGCTCCTGAATGTATAGATTTGTAATTTTTTAAAAAGGGTGGAAGAAGGGGAGTAACAGGCAACTCTTTTGACAGAAGTTGGCAAGGACGCTGTACTTTACCACAGCCTTAGCACCCCAGGCAGCGGATTGCTTTATGTGTCCTGTGTAAAGGACAAATGTCTGGGGTGGCCTGGGAATCTAGGACACAGAGCTTGGATGCTTTTTCCTTGCCTCTGTTGCTGAGTGATTCAGCTCCCCTAGCAATTGTTGGGGGTGTCTTCCTCTGTTAAATGGGAAAACTAACATTTACCCTCTCCACCTTATTGGGTTTATTTATGGTCTATGCTCTAAATAGAAATGTTTTCCCAAAAGACACAATGGTCTATAAAGATGCAAATTCTGCTTCTAACAGCTACCAGATAGAGTGGCATGCAGGGGTATATCCATTTCTGTGATAAACGTTTCAACATTCCTCATAATGTGGCTACCCACTGAGGAGGTAGTATGTATGCAGACTATCACTGGGTAGCAGTTGGAATCACTGACATAGCCCCATATTCCCCATATTCTGAAGACATGCTCAGACCTAGAGGAGAATTCCCAGAGAGACTTTAAGCGGACCATTCTAAAACCCTATCTTTACCACAACCTGCATCTTACTGAACTTCCATCCCCTTCTTTGAGAACTTCTGTTCTAGTAAAATAATTCCATGAGTTGCTTTAATTCATCCTAGTCCTTTCCATCATCAAAACACCAGCGTTTGAAAACTCTGACATTAAAATAACTATCTACTTGGAAGTTGTGCAATACGGCTAAATGCCTTCTGGCAATGAACCAATAGATACAGCTCCAATCCAAGATGGTGTGTGTGGGTTTCTGAAAGCAACAGAGTTGAGGTCTGACGTCCACAAGACAGGCCGCTCCCTTCAGTATGTGATCACCCCCAAAGGCAGATGGGTTTCCTTCCTCAGATGCAATCTAGTTACCTCGCAATTTACATGCAACGGGGGTACTTAGATACCAACAAGAGGTACCTAAGTCACTGACTTTCCCCTGGGTTTCTATCACTCATCATTTACTGAACAAATATTTATTGATCGCTGATTAAGTAGGAGGCCCTGTGCCAGGCACTGCGAAAATAGTGGCGAGTAAACAGACATCAGCACCTCCACCCCCTACCCCACACCAACCGCCCCCCCTCCGCCCCACCGCCAAGAGCTGCCATCTGGGAAGACAGTCTCTGAAAAGGGAAAACTGACCTAAAGCAAAGGGACAGGGTGAGAACAGAGGAATCTTCTTTGGAGCTGTTGTACTGAAGCTGATACCTGACGAATGAGTAGGAGTTAATGATGTGAAAGGGAAGGAGAGTTAGAATCTGTACTGCCCCTCAGGGAGCTTTCATTCATGAGGAGTTCAAGACATACATAGTCCTGACCCCTGTCATACAAAGCAGAATATGAGCAATGGCACTAAGGAGAGAGAAACAAATATTGTAAGTACCTCAACTAGGGGAAAAATTCAATACAGGTAAGATCAGTAAAAATTTCATGCAGGAAGAACAAAGTACTGGGCATTACTGTCCCCATGAGGTTTAGATTATCTACACGTTACAGATGGAAAAATAGAGTCCCCTGTCTCCTGATCATTATTCTGGGCCCAGACTTCCTTTGCATTTGAATCTACAGTCCTTAGGACATGAATCTCTGGCCTATCATACTCGACATTGGAAGTTACATAAAAGGACAAGCAAAGGGAAGATGGCAAGTATAGAAAAATAGCAATTTGCACATGAACTACTGCCCACAGTTTGTGTAGTCGTTGGTGCGGAATGAAAAGAGATTGGGAACCGAATGAACCAAAAATTATTTACAAATAGAATTTCCACTTAGGAATTTATAGACCAACTTTCAAACATCATGGAGGATTTCACCTGGGAAAGAATTGGTGTCATTTGCCTTCACAACGTGGAAGTACCTCTCTGGATAAATGTTTGTAGGCTGTTGCCATGAAAATATTAACAAACGACACTCAAAATGTTTGGTGATTTATGGAATCAGAAATTTAGAATAATTTCTTTCACTTAAATACAAAATAAACCAAGATGGCATTAAGTGGTTTCTTTCTGGATGCTGCAAACTATGGCTTTCCTCATTTGTCACTGCATGATTCATGCCAAGGTGAAATATATCAGTCACATATTTTCCCCACGCACATCAGTCCAATAATAATTCAGCCTAATGAGCTTCTTTGGTTCTCTCTTTACTGGTCTCCTCATGAACATAAGTCCAAAGACCTGGCCGTCGTTTCATGACGCTGTCTTGCTCTTTTCAACATCCAAGTACTTAGCACAGATCAGGCAACTAATGCCTCAAATGCATTAAATGTGTATTAATTACTCAGGAAATTCAAGACAGCTGCTCTTGGCTCCCTTTAAATAATGTTTTCCCTATTGATGTTGGGCTCTGATATCATTCAAGGGGGCCTATTTTCACTCTAACCATGTTAGGTATTTTTCCATATTCCAAATATTAACCAAAATATCTTCAAAACTATTGTTTTATATTCCATTTCTTCAAGGTTCAGATTCTTTATTTTACTGTTACGACCACAGATGACCTTTGCCCTATTACTGATGACTATCACTATGGGGTCCTCCTGCTGTGAAATCTCAATTTCGTGGCCAGATCAACTCAAGTAGGCTTGAGGGCTCCGAGACTTCAGTTCCTACTCATGTAGTCAACGGGCTACACAGTTAAAACTACCCTTATTCAAATGCAAGAGACCATCTATGAGAATATGATGCTAGGCTTAATTTGTTATTCCTTCTAGAGAGCGTATTATTGTTTGCCTAGAGGAATCCCCGCCACCCCCCGCCACCCAGTAAAACAGTCTCTAAAGGGATATACTCACAACCTTCATAAGGACATTCAGCAGAAGAGATCTGTTCACACCCCTCAAAATATAACATGTCGGAAGCTATTTATTCTACCTGACTTTGAGCAAAATTGACTTTCACAAGTTTGACACTTACTGAATGGAATCACAGTTGAACCCTAATTGAACCAACACATATTTAAATGTAGAAAAGTTCCACTGGGCCCAGACATCAAACAGACAACACAGGTCCAAGTCACAGACACCTGGAATCCTGCATTACTCTGTGGACCGTTTCCTGCAGAATATAAGTGTGCCATTTGCCTGAAACCTCCATGTCTTCCTTAGAGGGCCAGCTCTACTTTCTGATAATCTCTACAGACTTGGCTCCGACCCACTCATCCTGCTGTGCAGCTTGGATGACAAAGCTGGAAGAGGCCTTATTCAGTGTCCCCTGAATGTACAAGGGTAATTTCCTGCTTGGAGAAGCAATGTTTAAAGTATGTAATGCCCTCAATCTTAGCCTGTTCTTACTTATCCTTGGAAGGTAGATTCACAATTACGAAACATGACTGTGGTCATAACCAGAATAAAATGGGGTAAACAAGTTACATCACATGGCCTCTTCCTGTCCTAACTAATTCCAACAAAGCTGGTCACATAGTCCTTGGCCTGAGCAGCCAGGTTAGGGATAAAGCATGTTTAAATTATATTCCTTGCAGACTTTAGAGATGGCAATAGGAATTCAAGGCTTTGGAAGAACTGGGTAAGCCAAATTAAAGTTTCAAGGATCAGAGAATTCAGGGAAAACTGCATATTGATTCGCCTTAATGTTACTAGGCAAACGGGAATTCCTTTTAGCTGTAACGTAGAGTTCATTCATTTCGAAATTACAGATTTCAGCTATTATACTCCCAAACAGTGACACTTTTACAAATATTAGTGACTTTCCTAATTTCTCTCCATCACTTTCCCTGGAGGAAATGACCTCCTTAGTAATTTTTAAGTACGATAATCTCTTTGTTTAAAGAAAAAGTATCACAAAATTATATTCCACCATAGACTTATTTGCCTTCCCAATAGACTGCCACTAAATTCTGTTGAATATGAGTGAAAATCACTAGGCTTGACAGGTATGGTTTTCTCATCAAGGACTTGAAAAGCACTGTGTTCCTTCCAAAGTGCCGAGACAGCAGTAATGAGCCCCGAGCTCCGCACAGGCCGGTGTCCCTCCCTGCAGCCACTGAGAGCAATAAAAAGCAGGGTTCCTACCTCGGTGACTGGTGAGTTCCCTGGAAGCAGAAGGCAGGGGTGTGTAGCGGCTCTTCGGAGAGGCGGCAACGCTGTCACCAGAGGCCTGCGTGAGAAAAACCACACCAACATGAAGCCACACCAAACACTAAATACCTTCATTTACCCAACTTGTCTCCTCGGGATCTGGGTTTGGAGAAAATATTATGGACCAAGACTCTTCTTAGGGAGCAAGAGTTGTCTGTGTTGAGATAATATTCTGCTAAGTGTAGGGTCGATTACCAAGCTTCCAGGGGACTTGGTACAGGTGGAAGGGCTCTGACACAAGGGGATGGTTTGTTTACTGTGCTGAACTTCAAGGAGGAGGAGGCAAGGAGAAGTTGAAGGCAGGAAATGATGCAGACTTCGATTTCTGCCACAGGCCTCCTACCAATACTTCCCACGGATCGAATGTTCACTGTGCGGAGATTTCTATGGAAACCAGTGAAGAGGCTGAGCTTTGCCCCCAGGGTGGATGGGACAAACAAGCCTGGTTTACTGGACCCAGTGGCATGGAGATAATGGGAAGCTGAAGACAAAAGGCCTGGCAGCATGAAGTGACCCTAGAGAAGGATACAAACCATTGCAGACCCTGCAACTGGGGTTCTGGCTACATTTTACAATAGCACTGAAAAACCCATCTGAAATTTGAAATACAGTGGTCGTCGACAAAACTTTGCCATTTCAAAGTCTAAAAGAAAATATTCTGAAATCTATCTACGAAGATGCTTTTTTTTAACTGTACACAAGGCTCTTTAACCATTCGATTCTATATAGTGTGACGCAGGCTACTAACTCTCTTTCCCTAACACTACATCCATGGGGGCTAAGGCAGGAGGAAAGGACCACAGCCGGAGAGTCAGGTGTCACTCAGAGCTAATGACCAGTATGTCATATTCTGAGTGTGGCTGCGTGGAGTACGAAGCACCACCACTGCAATTCTTACTGAGACTTCTGAATCAAACACTACTTTTTTTTTTTTTTTAATATCCAAAAAAGAACATCTGCTAGGATCAAAATCCTAAGCTTACAACCTTTCCAAGCTTCATGAAAAAGTAAATTTCATTAATGCTACATTTTTCTTTCTGGAAAAGGAAATACATTCTATGGGATATATTTGCCCTGGTAGGAGGAGGCCTTTTCTCCAAAGAGATTATCGACATTATAGGAATCAAAACTAAGTAGGAGATTAGACCTACTTGCTAGAAAAACCCTTTAAACCCCGTTTCTGACATTTGAGATGTTTGATTAAGCAGCTTTCAGTGGAGACTTACAGAAAGAGTTCTGAATGCCACAAAAGCAGAAGCTCTGTCCCTAAGGTAGAGACAGATTTCGGGTAGCATTACTTCATCTCAGCAGCAAGAGAAATATATGGTGTTTAAAGTTTGATCCAAAGGTATTGGGTCTAGAAAGATCAAAGTTCAGTCACCAAGAAAAATGTTTTAAAAAGTACCCAAGATTTGTAAGATACTGCATCATTAGACATTTAGGATGCTGCAACAATGTAAAAGAGTCAGCAATTAGATTAAAATTCAAACATTAGAATCACCAGGTGTTTCTCCATTTGGCATCAAGGTCTCCTGTTATCCCTACATGATAAATGAGACACAATGACATGTTCTGAATATGGCATCTATTCAATGCTTGAGGCAGGATATATGCGGCAGAGGAATGGGGAATGTCCTTCCACAAATCTACTGTACTTCCTCCATAAGAGGCCATAGCTTCTTTCTCTGTCAATGTTTCTACTCCACCTTGTTGCTAAAAAAAGCCTAAAATTCCAGGATGAGTTTTAGGTTGCTATATTGTGATATTTCTTGGTGCTTTTAATCTCAATTTGGGCTGTTGACAACTTGATGACAGCTTTTCCTAAAATTACTGGAAGAAACTACCTTTCAGCAAATACCTCTGACGGGGAAAAACATACGAATTTTGTAACCAAGAGTAAAATAGCGATTTAACTTTTATTTCCAATTGTAGTCAAAGCAAAAACTGTGTGGCTTGAGTTCTGTTTTGCAGTCATCATTCTTCGCCTAGCACTTAATTACTTTTCTGCTAAGTGTCCATTTATAAACTCAAGTCATGGAAAAGAATCCAGGAAGAGAACAATTTTGCAAACTATGCCTTTTGGTGAGACTTTCATGGCTGGATGTTGGGGAAAACCGCTACAAACCAAGGTTCTAACTACCAGTTCTTTGACTTGGCTTTTAGCAAAATGAACTCCATGTGATCTTCTCAATAGTGATGTTGAAAATTATGCTTAGAAGCATGATTCAGAAAAGCACAATTATCATATGAAAGAAATGGACAAGACAATGTCTTAAATTTGCATTCTACCTGCCCCAGAATAAAGAACTCCCCTTGAAACTGAAGCAATACACTCACAGTATATCAAGAATGAAATAATAGAAACATAAGTGGAAATATTTAATGTTTTCTTTTACCTGGATTAAGGAAGGATGCTTAAAATGGGAACAGGGAAATCAGGGTAAATCGGAATCCTAAGAACTACAAATAATTCTCTAATCTTTGAGTACTTGCCAAATTTTCTAACGACCTGTGGCAAAGAATTACTTTTACATTTTAAATCACCCGTTAGAGAATTTTTGCAACATCTACAATAAAATATTAGCATCCAGAATACCTATATCCCTAAATAAATAAAAATATAATAAAAAATGGGCAAAGGAAAACTCAGACAATTCAAAGAAGAGGAAACCTGAGTAGTCAATAAATAAAAGAGAAGATGGTCAAATTTACTAGTCCTAAAGGCAATGCAAATTAAAACAAGATGCAATTATTTTCTTGTCCATCATAGTTGGCAAACTTTTAAGTCTCACAATAGCGAGTGCTACAGAGAATGAAGGACAACAAATCTCAACCTCTCATCCTTTGCCAGTGGGAACGTACATTGGTTCAACTACGCAGGAGAATAGCTTAGCAATATCTAATAAAATTGAAAACTGGTACTGCAATTCCCTTTAAAATATATACGATGGAAAATTTTACTCAGATCTGTAAGGTGGAACATAGAACAATGTTTATTGCAGCATTATTTACAACAGAACAAATTGGAAATAATTCAAATGTCTATCAATGAGGAAAATCGATAAATAAAATGTTGTATATTCACATGACAGAATAATATTTAGCACTTAAGAGCAATAAAGCTGATTTATATATCTCAATTTGAGTAGCTCTAAAAATTTAATAAAAAGTGAAAATGCAAGTTGCAGAATGATAAATGTAGAGCAATATTATTTATGTATATGTGTAGTTCTTTGATCTCATATGTGTATACGGAAAGGTCTAAAAATTATAAAAGTTATACACTACATTCATGAAAATGGTTGCCTCTACCACAGGGCACAGGAATAGGACTGGGGCTAATGGGAAAGAGGGTGAGCTTCAATTTTACAGATAAGGTTTATTTCTTTTATTGAAAGATAAGACATGAAAAAAAATGTCAAGATATTAGAAAATACAAACCCTGTATGGTAGCTGAACATCCTCATTACTTTTCAAACTTTTCTACATTTTTGCAATTTCTCAGAATTAAACATGAAAATTGAAAAAACAGACTCCTATTTTCTCTCTGATCCATAAGTCCTATGTTGATATAAACCCATAATTAGAGGAAATTTCCTCTAACAATTTTCTAGTACTTGCCCAACATGGATTCAGGTCATCTCTGGTTGGCTTTTTGTGATGAAATATCCCATTTCTAATTCTTCCAAAGCTACTGAGTATGACAATAGAATGGAAAAAGCCAATAAGCAGTAGTAACTATAAATTCCCCCTTCACACCAAGGCTTGAAATGCTCGTTCCAGCCCGGTAAGCACTTCTGCTTAAGATCTGCCAAAGCATACTGAAGGTTTCTGTACTTGTCTCCTACTCACAATTGGAGAGTTGCTAATAATTTTTTAAACTCACATCAATAATGACAATGGTCACTAATATACTGTGCTTTGCAATTTCTATAATGCAGGAAGGAAGGAAGAACTTTGGCAACCTCATTGGAAAAGACTGAATGAAAGTACAGTACAAGAGATTTGCAAAGTGAGAATTTCACTCTGCGGTTCCAGAAAACAAATGTCTTTAGATGAATGTGTAAAATTCGAGCCCCCTCCCATTGGGTGCGTTCCATGAAAACCTGCATTCCAGTGGATATTTCTGAACATCATGGATGCCCGGAAGGAACATGATACAGACCACAGGAGGAGAGATTTGGCAGGCTTCAAGACAAGAAGGGGGCAGCTACAAAGTTGTTTAATAGTCATAAATCTCCCACTATTTTTCACAAAATACCATCTAAGACCACAGCTCCACAACTCATTCCCCATCACTCAGCTCAAGTGGAGCGCTCTGGCATGCTCACTCACCCTTAAATCATACGCTGCATAAAGTGATCCCAGGTCTGGGAAATTTGTCAGCCTCTTTCAAGTAAAAGCAATCTTCGCTTTTCATCACAATTCATTCCCTGAAACTGTGGTATAAAGCTGACTCTTCTAAAAACATTTATTTTCTCTCATAAGAAAAAGTATCACTCATTTATTATTAAGGATTTAATAAACACCTACTATATGCCAGGCCCTGTGTAGAGAATACCAAGAAAAATAAAATGAGGACCTTGGCTGCATTCCCAACTCATCAAAAAAAAGAAGAAGGAGAAATTAGAATCATGATTAATGCTGGTTAGTAAGAGTCACCAACTCAAAGCCTGATCCCCATACTCTGCATCATCACAGAACTTTGACCCTGACCTCTATGATGACAGCTGAACACTTGGACCAGTAATTACATCCTTGCTTATTTCTTCTTCATACTAACAGAGAACTTTCAAGATTAACTCTACTAACTTTCCAAGATTAACTATACTGTTACCCTTGTACCCAACATGCTGCTAGAAAGACAGAAAGAAGTCAATGCATAATGCTTGAATGAATAAAACATTTTAACGTCAAAGAGAAAACTATACACCATGATTGTAATTCAACACAAAAGTATAGGCCAAGTTGCCAGAATCAGAGGTAAAGACTTGACAGCATCTCAAGGATTAAGTTAAA